GGGGCCCAGTCATGGCCCACTGGAGTTTGACATTTGGAAAATAACTTCTTCTTGTATAATTAAGGCATCAACATTTGCTACTCTTCAAGGAAACTGTCTGTTAAGCTGGTTTTGACTCTTTGACCCTGACATAACAGGAAGCTCGTTAGCCAAAGATCTGATGTTATCAGTAAGAGTCAGGAAATCCGGTCTTTGAAAAACAATGACTTGGTGTTTTTGGTTGTTGTGTGCCCTTAAAAGCTTCCTGTTGCTGTGAACCTATAAAAGGAGCTCTTTCTGTGAAATAAATCAGACTTCTCTTCGTCTCCACTCAGGCTTGAGTGTTCTTTCCTTTCTCAATCCTCACTCCCCGACTCAGGCATGTTCGTGTTGTGACGGCTGGACCGCCACAGGATAGGGGAACCAACCTCACCACGGTGCTTTTCTGCTTCAGGAAGTTCAGTAAGGCAGGATCTGTACACCACCTGCATGTAGGAAAAAGCAATGGATTATCACAGGGTCAGCACAATGCTCATCAATGAGTTGTTCTCTCCAGTTCTTTGTTCTTTCTTTCCATGTTCTTCTATCATTTATTCTATCTTACATTTGCCCCTTTCTTCCTCATCTTTTTGTGTTTATTATTTCCCCTCTCTTATTAGTTCCTTTAAAATTTGTTTTTATTTTATTGTTTCATTTTTTTTCTTTAAAAGACAGGGTCTTGCTACGTAGTTCAGGCTGGCCTTGAACTCAGTATGCAGCCAGGTTGGCCTCAAACACATGGCAATCCTCCTACCTCAGCCTCCCGAGTGCTGGGATTGCAGATGTGCACCACCACACCTGGCTGTTTTGTTTGTCTTTTTTTTTTTTTTTTTTTTTGGTACTGGAGATCGAACATGGGACCTTGAGCTTGCAAGGCAGGTGGCGGCACCACCGAGCTAAACTCCTGGCCCTGTGTTGTTCTTCTGGAGACAAGGTCTCACTGTGTTGTTCAGGCTTGCCTTAAATCTGCAACCTCCTGCATCAGCCTCCCAAGTGCTGGGATTACAGGCTTGTGCCACCAAGTCTGGTTTTATTAATTCCTTTTTAAAAAGGTTTTATTTTTTAGTATATGTGCTGCCGAAGCAAGCACTTAGAAAGTTTTTATCAGTTAAGGTCTAACTAGAACATCAGAGTACCTAGAATATCACTCTAAGTACCTAAATAAGAGGGAATTTAATAATAGGAAGTGGTAATAAAAGTGACAGAGGCAGGCATGAGGCCATGAGCTCAATCACTAGAATCACAGAAGAAAGATGACCCTTCTGAGGATTTACATTGTGGATCTTGTGGATTGGAGGAGTACCTCAGTGGCAGAGCACTTCCTTAAATTCAATCTCCAAAACAATAAGGGGCAAAAACCAAAAAGAGTCGGGGATTTAGCTTTAGCGCCTGTCTCACAAGCACAATGTCATGATTTTGATCCCTGATACAAAAAAAAAAAAAAAAAAAAGAAAAGAAAAAAGAAAAAGCTAGAAAGACAAGACAGGTTGAGAAACCAGCCTTAAGAAAAAAGGCAAGGCACCCTAAAGGCTACTTCCTCAGTCCAGGCTACAAAGAGTAACGGTTGTGAGACCGGAGTCAGGGACCAGGGCCACCAGAGTCACAGTCCGATCGTCTGTAGGAACTGAGGCCAGAGAAGTGAGTCATGGACAAAAGACACTGCACAAGGGACAGACAGCCTGGACACTCTGCTTCTGGGTCTCTAATCAGCTAAACTAGGAGATGGGAAAGTAAGGCCCATTGGGGACATTGTCCTGCATTATAGCAGAGAAGGTTGAGGAGAGCAAAGCCAAGGATGGCACAGAGAGCAGGGAAATCCTGTTTCAAAGCTGGAATTTTTAATATTTGACTAAACTGGAACAGCAAGTCCAAAACTTACCTACTCCAGGAATACAAAAAGTAAAGTTGTTTTTTTTTATATATAAAATTAAAATTAGTGCAGTCTATTACCATTATATTCAACACACAATGATTTTTTTTTTTGGTAGTACAGGAGATTGAACCCAGGGAACTGATCACTAAGCTACATCCCTGTCGCTTTTGCTAAGTTGCCCAGGCTGGACTTGAACTTGTGATCCTCCTGCTTCAGCCTCCTAGAGGGCTGGGGTTATAGGATGTGACACCATATCTGGCTGCATACTAAGTTTTAAAAACAATTGAGTTGGTACATGTCTGTGATCCCTACACTTGTGAGGCTAAGGCAGGAGATCCTGATTTTGAGGTCAACTTGGGCAATTTAACAAGATCTTGTCTCAAAATAAAAAAAAGGGTAGGAGGGCTGGAGATTTAGCTCAGTGGTATCACACCTGCCTCACAAGTGCAAGCTCCTGAGTTCAATCTCTGGTAACAAAAAAAGGGGGTGGCTAGGAATGTAGCTCAGTGGGAAGGCCCTATGTCTGATCCTTAGCACTGCAGATAAATATACACACACCCATAAATACATATGTTTCCTTGGTGGGTGTGGTGGAACATCCCTATAATCCCAACAGTGAAAAGGCAAAAGGATTGGGAGTGATTTCAAGGCCATGCTAGACTACTAGTGAGTGAGACCTGTCTCCAAAAAACCAAACAACCTGTTTTGTTCACACTGAGATAAAACACCTTGTGAAATGAGCAAGCAAAAAAGTTCCTAACATACAAGGATAGTGGCAGGAGAAAGAGGCTAACATTCACACACAAATCCTGACTGGGCATCATTAAAAGAAAGAGAGGAAGAAAAAGACAAAAAAACTGTGGGGTGCTGAAAAAAATTGGAGGGAAATAAAGGAAGTGATTATAAAAATGATAAAAAGGTGTAGGAGAAGACAGAGTGAGAAGATACAGGATAGAGGCTGGCAATAAATAGGAGGCTCAGTAAATACTGGACAAGAAAGTTTTTCTGAGAAATACATCAATCCAGCAAACTGAAGTGCTACAGCTGCGATCCACGAAATGATTTTCCTTCTCTTTCAGGCACCCTCTCAAGGTACAACCACAGACAAATGCTATTCTTCTGGACACAATCCTATTTTTAAAAAATTCTTAATTTTGATTTATGTCTACCAGCAACACCCACTCTCCCACTATTTTATTATTATTATTTTTGGTACTGGGGATCGAACTCAGGACATTGTGCTTATGAGGCAGGTAGCAGAACAACTGAGCTAAATCCCGGGCCCTATTTATTTTTATTTTGAGACAGCTAGGCTTGAATTTTCAATCCTCCTGCTTCACTCTGAATGCCTGGATTATTGGCATATTCCACCATGCACAGTTACATACCATTTTAAAACTGGAATGAGACACTAGCTATGGGAAAATCAATAAAATGAATGGACTGTGGTGAAGGAACAGCAAGCAGAAATTCCGTCTGCCTATTGTTGCTGGTCTTGTCTCCACCCCTTAAGTGTGAGAACCAGGAACCTCTTGCACTTTTGCCAGACCTTTAATCAATGATAACCAGTCTGAAAGCTTAGCAAATAATTTCAATTTAAACATTTCAAACTGGATAGTAACCCAACAATGACATTTTACTCCTGTAGTACCTCTGGAGCAAGGGCCTTACAGTATCCCAGTATTCTTGGAAGAGCAGGAACAAATTTGTGGGTAAGGACAGATAGCTACATAGTGCACTATATTCTCCCTCGGCAGAATCTGCAAGAAAAGAAAAATACATTAATAAGCATATTTCTTATCTGCTCACTTTGTTAATAATGTTTTCTCATTGTTTGTGCTCATTTCTATATTCTTTGTGAGAGTATATTTTGTGCATTATAAAAACTGTGGCTGGCAAATAAGCCACAGTGATCCTTTTACATCACAAATCAGACTCAGGCTGCTCATCAGGGGCTCCAGAATCTACCCAGCACACTCAGTATAAAATACAAATTCTCCACTGTGGCAGAAAGGACCTAAGTGACATGTATGCAGGCACCTGCTGCCCTCCTTCTGTCAGACTTCAGCTGTACATATATCTTTGCTGTTCTTGGAGAATGCCGAGCAAAGCCTTTGTTTATTTTTCTTCCTGCTTAGCAGTAGTCAACTATGTAAGCAGCTCAACCCCACCAATGCAGAAGTCTGTTCAGTGGCTCCTCAGCTGCCTTCCATGAACACCTATCACAGAGTTCCCACTTTGGTCCTGGTACTGTCTTCCCAAGGCCTGCTTTATTTTTCTTTTCAGTATGCATCACCACTTGACATTTTTTATTTATTTAGCTTTCATCTCCTCCCAACAAAAAAGGACTTTATTTTCTCCGGCACCTATTGGTATCCGGCAGATCCAGACTGGCATTCAGAGAGTGGCTTCCTATTGTACATAGGATGATGACAGAGCCTGATCAGATATACCCTCTGGGAAAGGTAACCTGGTCAGTTTATTTTCAAAGGACTAAAGAGTCATTGAACAATTCTGGTGATTCTTCCAAAATCATAAAAATATTTTGTTTTTTACCCACACAAAGCCACAAGGAAACATCAACTTGGTCTAGATTTAGAGGCAAAAGGATATAGAAATACATAGTGAAGTTTTTCTCCTACATTGCCAAAAGTTTTCTTCCCTAAAGGCCACCAATGTCTCCAATTTTCTATATAGCCTATCAGGTATTTTCTGCATATAAACTAAACTTAAGCACATAAACTATACACTGATAGAAGCCAAGAGGAAGACTTGCACACTATAAGAGAATCAGTTTGTCTGTTCTAACTATGCAATCTTTTTCCTCTTTTTGAGATAGGGTCACACTATGTAGCTCAGACTAACCTGGAACTCACTATGTAGCTCCAGCTACCCCTGAACTCATGGAAATCCTTCTGCCTTAGCCTCCTGAATGCTAGGATCACAGCCATGTGACACCATGTTTGGCTATAACTATGAATTCTTGATCTTAAAGATAAGAATAAGAAAAATAAGTCTTGGTTTTCTGCTGTGTAACTTCATTTTCCTACTTACTGGTGAACAGCTCCTCAGGTGGAGTCACCCCAAGTACGTAGTGAAAGAACAAGGCAGCACAGCGCAGGTATGGGGTGATGCCACTCTTCAGGGAAGCCCACAGGTACCAGCCTGGGACACTGTGCCCAGCATAGCTAGGAGACAGAGTGCTTTCATAAGACCAACATGCTAGATTTGAATGAGACACGGTCTTTGACCAAACTATAAACATTTAAATAACTTAGTACCCACTTAATTTTAAAACATTTAAAAACAGATATTTAGCTAGCTAATATCCTCCACATTTAAGTTTCCTAGTAATTTTCTAAAGAAAACCACAAAGTCCTTTTTTTTTTGGTACTGGGGTTTGAACTCAGGACCTTGTGCTTGCCAGGCAGGTGTGGTGTTGCTGAGTTAAGTCCCAGACACCACAAAATCTTTTATTATGTAGATTTTAAGCACAGACCTACTCTCTTCTTTTTCTTTCTTTCTTTTAATCTCTACACACAGGATAAAGATATATAAATTTTAAATTTTATATTAGGTACACATATGTATGAGTTATGTGGTATTTATATAATTATATATTATATGAACATTAAAATATAAAAGCCAAGGGCCGGGGATTTGGCTCAGTGGTTCCGGCATCTGCCTGGCAAGCACAAGGACCTGAGTTCGATTCCTAGTACCAAAAAAAATATAAAGGCCAAAATATTTCCCATATTATTCATAACAGTATTTTTTTGTATTCATGACAGTAAAAATCTTAGTTAAATGCATCAACTGTATGGATTGCTGCAAAAGGACAACCAATTTTCTATTTTCTACCACGTATTTAAATTCTAAATACTGATAATTATTAAAATTCTGTCCTGGGCCAGGGATTTAGCTCAGTGGTGCCACCGCCTGCTACATAAGCACAGGGTCCTCAGTTCTATTCCCAGTACCAAAAAAAAAAAAAATCTGTCCTCTTTTATCTAGGTTCCCAGAACAGTTTACAAGAACTAAATATATGTCAAACTTAGGTCAGTCTCAGGAATAAAAATGGGCAGCTATTAATCTAACCTACTTCCCTTCCTTTTACTTCAAAGTAAAACAACCAAAGTAAGTTTTTTCCACTATAAACCTAACCTATAGCAAATAAAAATCATATAACAAAAGCCCTTACCTGGCTTTTTTTTGGGGGTACAGGGGATCTAACTTAGGACCTTGCTCTTGCAAGGCAGGCACAGTGCCACTGAGCTAAATCCCTGGTCCCCCTTACCTGACTTTTAAAAATTGATATTAGAATGATTCAAAAGTTACACTGTCACACAACAGAACAAAGACATGCAATTATTAAAAAGAAACTGCAGTACATGGGACTAATGCACTGCTTGCTACTCACCCGCTCATAAACTGGGAAATTTCTGCAAAGAAAGAAGATGCAGAATGAGCTTCCTCACTATCTTCTTCCTCCTGAGAAATGGGAAGTCCTGAAAAAGAAATTCTGCAGAATGAACTACATTTGTTATCCAGCCTACAAATTACACCACAATTTCATGGCTCTAAAATCTTTCTGGTAACTGTCAACTCTGCCAACTCTGGTAACTGTCAACTGTCTTACTTCTGAGTAAGTCACTGAAGCTCTCTGAACTTCAGCTTTTTTTTGGTACTGGGGATAGAACTTGGGACCTTGCGCTTGTGAGGCAGGTGGTGGAAACACTGAGCTAAATCCCCAGTCCCCTGAACTTCAGTTTTATTGTATTAAAATGGAAGATAAAAACACCAACTTTGCTATTTACTGTGAGAGGTGATCACAGCACATTTTAATAGTACTCTGTTGTTTTAAAATGCTTTTGCTTATGCATTAATTCATCTGAAATTACCTTGAATGATACTGCCTTATCTCTGAGGAATACTGCTAGTTCATTAATGTGTTCTTTTCTTTTTGGTTACCAGGGATCAAACTTGGGTTCTTGTGCTTGTGAGGCAGGTGGTGGAACCACTGAGGCAAATCCCCGGCCCCTATTAATGTGTTCTTACCAGCTTGAACGCCCTGGCACAACAGGCATAGATGGCTGTGCCATGGGGCAGTCATGCCTACACCACTTACAGTTCAAGCTGCCCAGCAGTGAGACATACGAATTACAGCCCCATAGTGAAGATGTTAATTTTCCAAATAAGATCTCTTAAAGGACCTGCTTTATTTTTATTTCTTTTTTTTTGGAGACAGGAGCTCACTAGATAGCCCAGGCTGGCCTCAAATTCAGTGATCCCACCTGTGGAGTGCTGGAATTATTACAGGCATGCACCACCATGCCCAGCAAGCACTCACCTTATTTTAAAAAGTAGAAAACATATAATGAATCCATACTAATTTTAAAATATTCAAATGTAAAAGCTTGGGGTTGGGAGTACAGCTCAGGGAAGAGCATGTGAGTAACATCCCTGAGACCTTGGGTTCAATCCCCAGCAAGAAAAACAAAGTACCCCAACATCAACAAAAGAGCAAGTGTTCAATATTTATTTTTAAAAATTATTTTTGAGTTCAGTATTTATTTATCATTTGGTCTCTCTGTTTGAGGTACTTTTTTTTTTTTTTTTGGAGACAGGTTATCACTATGTAGTTGAGACTGACCTGGAACTCACTATGTAGCCCAGGCTGGTCTTGAACTCAATGCGATCCTCCTGCCTCAGCCTCCCGAGTGCTGGGATTCCAGGCATGTGCCACCAC